ACTTGGCACCGTGAGTAGAGGCAGATAGGCGTTCAGTCGTGTTTGGCTTGTGTAGCGTAGACACACCTTAAGTTGACGTTCATTTTGTTTTATTTTTTGATGTTCTGTATAAAAAAACGATTTGAGAAATACATTTGGGTGGGATTAATTCTACTTTAAATAACGAATATTCCAAAGAGAATGTTTATCAATGTGGCCAAATTTCAAACTGACAAATCATGTTTGGACTTGACTTGGGAAAGAAAAGTCCCACGTTCTCGACTGTACATTTATGTATAACTGGCTGTTACTCGCGACTTCGTCCGCGTAAAAAAGTATTAGTAAAAATTTTACCTTACTTAGAGATAACGAGCTATTTCATGGTGCAAGAATTTTGAAATCGGTCCAGTAGTTAAATTATTTCAATACATGCTCAAATGTAGAGAAAGACCAAAGAAAGTATGGATGGATTGTGTGAAAGAGGATATGCTTAAGAATGCAGTGGATTCAGATATGAAAGCTGATAGAGATGTAATGAAGAGCAGCACATACTGTGCCGACCCTCCATTAGGGACAAGGGCAAGTGGATGACAAGCTCAATTACAAATCATTCCTCTTTATATTAGTATAGACTATTTTACACTACGTTTACCTTAGATCGTCCGCGGACTCGTTTGCCGTTATTGAGCCTCAGCCAGGCGTCCCAGCGATGTCGGTACACGGAGACCGTGTTCCATCTGCCCAAGCGTACCGGCTCCGGCGAGCGGAGGATGCCCGCGCCGCTGCCGCAGTCGAATCTGAAACATTGGTACAAAATCAGATTGATATTACAAAATTAAATCAATAACGTACTAATATAAATGTCAAAGTTACAAAGAAGAAAGAAGTTACAAAAAAGAAAGAAGCTACAAACTCTATTCCAGGATCCATCCTGCTGAGGATCTCGATGAAATTTTGCAGAGATGTAGAGGATAGTCTGGAAAAACACATGGGCTTGGTTTTTTTGTTAATTCCACCTAGATGGATTCTCGGGGGCAAGCTAGTTCTTACGTAATATAGAAATATATATACTATTATAATAAAGCGTAAGCGCACACTTCTTTGTTGCCTAAGATCTCAGCAATTACAGCATGTTTTTGAATAATTCTTTGTTTTTATAAAAAGCCCTACACTTACGTCACGCTTTAGGCTATATATCATCACGCCATTAAACTTAGGGGGTAAATATTTTGGATAAAAACCCTAATGTGGGAAAGAGACCATAAGTTGCTGCCAACATCAAGGAAGCAAGATTGCCATAGTAAAGTAATTGGTATTTTGACATTTGTTATTGAGAATTTAACAAATGCAAATAATAAATTTATAATTTAATGCGGGTAAAGCCGCACGCGAACAGCTAGTCTTTTAATAAGAAAAGAGTGCTTCATTTGCTATAATAAAAAGTTATGTTCTAAGTTTTCATTTCTTTCAAGCTTCTAACTTTTCGTTTGTGTTTTGTTTGATTAAAATAAAACGATGTAAAAATGCTGTTATCTAAAAATATGTTTTATAGAGAAATCTGTATTCTTTTATGTACAAGTTTTGTAATAAATATGTAAGTAAACAATGTAAACGTTAAATCATTCATTTTTTAAAAGGTATTTTCATACCGTAGTCGAATTATTTACTGCATTACATGTTGCCGGTGATTCGTAAATGAATATTCAATAAGCAGTAACAATTTAAATGTTCTCAATAAATGAATGACGTTTTAACGTCAATTTTAAACGTAATGTTTTCATTTTAAACAGTACCGTAGATTAAACATTCTTTTTAAATAGTCCAAGTTACAGGACGACTCGGTTATGCTTTTTTAATTCCACGAAGACGGAGTCGCGGGCGAAAATGATAATGGAGTCTTCTGTAACAATCTCCTAGCACTGCTATCTCAGATTATGCGATCAGAGGTGACTGGCAAATGCGCATTAGTTTTAGGTAAATATAATGTAGATGGCAGTATAACGCAATATTTAATCAATGCAAATCCTGCGGGAGCTTATTGTTGCTAGTTAATTAGTGCAGGCGCTGTGCGGGGCCAAGATAAGCTGCACCAAAATGCACGTTAAATTACATTATTAATATTAATTTACTTTACTAATACTATTTTAATAATTAGATTAACTAGAAATAAATGAAAAAAGTACAGGTTTATTAATAGTCGCAACAGAAATTAAAATATTAGGGTAGAAAGAATAAGTTCATAGCTTCATGAAATCTTAGTGCGGAAAAGGCAATTTTTATTCCAATTGTTATCATATTTTACTTTGTTAGAATGTAAAATATAGGTTTTTAAAAATGAAAAATGGAGTTTTGTTTTGCTAGATAACGTTTGTTTTGACAAATAAACGCTCGCTAGATGGAGCTGATTGCTTTTATTTGCCTCCCGTAAGTGTCGCTTTGTGCAATTCAAGCGAGCTACGTTTGTTTTGCTTTGTTATATTGTGTTGAAAAATTTCGCATATTGGACCTTATTATTCTATGTTATATGAAATTTAATATTTATAGTTACTTTTTGTTGATCCTATAAAAGGAGAATAAATCAAATTCAGTTTTTTTTACAAAGTAGAATTGCATTGAGAAATCTATACATATATAATAAAATAGGAGTGTCTGTCTGTAATGATGTATTTGCGTTGCTGATAACGAAAATCGCATTTGAAATTTTTTGTCTGTCTGTCTGTCTGTCTGTCTGTCTGTCTGTCTGTCTGTCCGCAAGCCGCATTTGTTCCGGGTAATCTTATAAACAGCTGGGCCGATTTCGACTGGTCTTTCACTGAAAAGTAGCTGACAGAGACATAGACGATCATGTTATAGACCACTTTTTTTTTTATTCCGCAGTGTCAAAATGGCGTAAGATGTGCATTAATTTTGAAAACTTTTAAAGTAAGTAATAACAATATGAGTATTATTTGGTTTCTTTCTTTAATTTGTAAAGTTTGTCTTCAATATTAAACGTCGTCTCAAGTATATATTAAAAAGAAACCAGAGTTGTCTGCAGTCTCACAAATTGCATTACACAAAGGGAAGCAAAGCTAGAATGCGGAGTACACTTGACTGTCGCTTTTGAAGTCAGATCTTTTAGCTCTTTTATAATATTTGTTAAAAAAAGGTATTGAAAATACTGTGACAAGTAAAAAGTCAATTGAATATCATTGCGTCGCTTTAATTTTTAGTTCCAGTGATGAAAAAAATTGATAAACAATAGGTTAAGGTGGAATGGACATATGAGGCGTGGAAATGGCAGTCACATGAACATGTAATAGCTACCAAAGGTAAAGGAAGACCAAATAAAGAATTAATTGTCTCAAACAGGATTTGATTATGAAACGAGAAGACAGGTGTGAAGTGGGAGCAATTCCGCGTTTAGTCCCTTTCCCTTAGCACCTTCTTCTTACAAAGGAAGGATGGGAGGAGAAATATTTGACGGCGGAGGAGACGAATAAAAAGGGGAAATATGCTCTTATGTGCGTCTTCTCCTTCGTCGATTAAGAGTAGGCAACGCATCTGAAATTGTAAATGTCTATGGGTAGCAAACGCTTATAAAATATAAAAAAGACGTGAATTCACACATGATTATTGAACGCTGCATCGATGTTACCTTACCTCAGTTCTAGATGTCCGTTCCTCAGTAATAATGCCAGATAGTCCCCCGAGAGGTCGTCGTGCTCGCCGGTAAGGAGAAGCACGCCGCGAGCGCGTTCCGGCCGCACACGCAATCGTAAACGAACGCGCTTGTACGCACCGCGCAGTGCATGCAGCGCCACCCACGACGTGCCGGAGAAACGCGGCGTTGAGATCTTTATATCTGAAAGTATATTAAAATTAATACTGGATTTATGACCACCAGAAGGCGTCCAATACAAGTTTATCGAACAATGTAAATCAGACAGTACATTTAACTATTTAAATCATGGCTAAATATTGAAACGAAATTTAAATGCTTCGTAAGTGACGCTTCTGATAGTGGTCAGAATTTTAAAGGAATTTGGAGTTTAAGCCTTATTATTTACACATTTAAATGGCGTTTCAATATTCGGCTGTTAACTGCAAAATGTAGAATTTTTAGTGACTAATTGTTATTTCAACAGAAAATGAAAGAACTCTTTTAAATAGTATGTGTCCTCCATCGATTTAAGTCAGGCAAAGAGACAGCAGTCGCTTCGCTATTTACGCAAATTTAGATTGTCGTTTGCTAAATTATCCCACATATTTTATGCGATTGTTCACTGTCGGGATTTGGCGGCCAATTCACTTCAGCTGTTTATTTGCGCAACTAAATATCGAGTAATGTGCACACCTCCATATAAACTCATAGGAACTAAAGCGCGATTTAACAGTGCGATAGTTTAGTCAAAGGTGCGCGCTATAAAAGTTTAATTATACGCTAAATTTCAACCACAGAATTTCTTGTTATACAAAATAGACAACAATACATTATAATAGACGTATTTTGTTTTCAGCTTTCTGCGTGTTGTGGATTTATCGAGTGAGATGTCGGCATGTAATTTGTTATGCGAAGGATTAGGAAGACAAATGACGTACGGCGGATTTGTAATTACATGACATAGCTGAGGCAGCTATGCTTTTTGGTGGATTAACTCTGTACAATGTATTATCAAAATCTAAAGAGTAAATATCTCTATTTGATGATATTAAAAATACAAAAGTTTAAATGATGTTTGTTACGACGTAACTTCAAAACGGCTGAATATCGATGAAATTTACCAAAGAGATAACTAAGACATAGCGCATATCTTTTTCGACGTAGAAATGAACGTTCATTTGTTTTCTCTTTGTACTTAGCTAGCTGTTGCTCGTCACTTCGTCTACGTAGAATTAAAAAAAAATAGTACAATATATAATGGTGCAAGAATTTTTGAAAACGTTCCGGTAGTTTTTGAGTTATTACAATACATTGAAAAATCGTGATACAAATCTTTACAATAGTATATATAAACAATAAAATACAAAGGTATCCAGTAGTTATCAAAACTGCGTCGGGTGGCAAAATAGCGTCGACGTAGTTTTAAACAATTAATGAAAATTAAACTACTTGCAACAAACAAAATATTCTATTCATT